CACATCTGCTAACCTACAGGACACAGCATAAAGCTCATTTTTTTCTCATGCCCTTTGTTTTAAAGTACTGCAAGTGAAAAATTGCAGGTTGCAGTTTGCTTTCTAAAAGGATTGTGGGGAAGTAAAATAGTCTTTCCCTTGTCTCTTGAAAAGAAAGTAATTGTACAGTTAGGTTTGTAAATGCACCTGAGGCACACAGTGGTTTTTTAGAGATAAATAAAAGCCTAAAAGAAGAAGCTACAAAGATACCACTGTTTAATTCAGGAAACGCAGAGAACAGGAGCAGATCTAAAGAACTCAGCAATTTCCTTATACTGTAAACATAGTAACCCTTTTGCTAAACTTCAGTAATTCCCGCAACTTACTACAGGGCAGGCATTACTCTTTTACAGACATGTTTCACAGTGTGCATTTTTGTACCTGGTCTTTATAAGGCTGGTAGCAAGACCATTGCTGTGCTTCTGAGCTTGCTGGTGTTCATACTCGTCATTTTGCTGCCTAGATAAGCTTGTTTGACTTTTTGGCGTTTTCTTATACTTTATTGCGGTGTGCTAGGTAAGTTATGGGCCTTTTGTTTCAATTGTTTTGCGTTAGAAAGGACGAGCTCTGTCTACAGCACTGGTGTAACTGTGTGGCTCTAGGGCCCCACCAGGGAAAAGTGTGAAAAGACAAGACCTTGGCTTACTATCCATGATCTGACTGTAGCTTTGGGATCATGCAAAGGCAGAAGCAGGAAAAGCTTCTACTTCTGGTCTTCTAGAAAGTAGTTTTATCTTTTCCTAGAGAAAGGTAAGAGAATAAATATTTGGTTTTGCGCTTAACTAAGTTTTATAAACTAACTGGGATGGATCTGATATAAAGCATGTTTAGATTAGAGAGAGATTTTTCCTGAAAAAGCTGGACAAGAGGGTGTATGATACACTTTCTCTCCTAAGCAGAGAAGAAAACCATTTAGTTTCTCACAGGTGGTAAAGCAGTTGTCCTCTGCCTGGGTGCCTGCAGTGGGAGGCAGTTTCTGTTCTGTGCATCTTTGTAACCTTACTGTGTAAGGCACATGGGCTACTGGCAGGTAGGAGTGATTAGATGGAGCAGGCATGTGTTGCTCAGGAGTTGTTTTTAGCATCCGAAGTACAATTTCCAGGAAGATGTAGGGTAAGTAGGTGGCAAACAGGACTCAGCCTAGTAAACAATGTTTAGCATGAAGTGGAGCTGCAGCATACTGAATACAGCACACTGATCCCTAAAGGAATTTTGTACTATAGAGCAACATGAGGGCACTAGAGATCAGCAAACGCTGTTTAGAGTGGTGAGTGACAGCGCAAACTGGTCACAAAGAGCAGGTTCCTAGTTTAGTGTTACCAACTGCACGTACTCTGAGTGCATATCCTGTGTTTCACAATTACTTTTATCACTTGGTTAGGAAAAAAAACCCAACCAAAACTCAGAACCCTTTATTCTTTATTAGTGTTGTTACTACTGATAGGCTAGTCCCTAATTAATGTGATGGTACTTTCCCATTCCTCTACTACTCTCCTTATTAGAAGTCCTTGGCAATATGAGAGACGTATCTATTAGTTAGTCATGAGGTATCTAGACCAGCTTGCTTTTGAAACTAAAGACTGTGTACCCCAGGCATACTTATTTCTGATTTGCATATGGAAAAGGCAGTTAAAAAGCTGATGCCCCCATATTACTTGCGAGTCAAGTAGCAAAAGTAAATGATTTATCAAGCAAAGGTTACAACACCTGTGCCTTTTTGTCAACATATACAGAGGATGCCAAGTCAAGTGTTTCTTCTAATAGCTCAAACAGAAATTTAGATTCAAATAACCGCCCAGATAGGACAATTATGCAGTGAGCCGCTGGAGTGGCAGAGTGATGGATGGGGTAAGCAGAGCCAGTGTATGAAAAAACAAACCAACTGAAAAGTTTTGAAGCTGCTAAAACCAGACAAAGCCAACAGCCCTTTTGCGGCTTTTGTTGCTGAATCAGAACTACTGACTTAAATCAGTTTATTTCCTGGTCTCTTCTGTCATGGAGTTGTCATCCTGCTACAACCCTTGTTGACACAGGAAGACAGCCTTTTTCTAAATAAAGTATTATATAAATTCTATAAAATTCCTTTAAGGGATTATATTTGAAGCAATGCGACATAAGTCAGAACACGCTGCTAATGGAAATGTCTACTGCTAATTTTTATAATGCCCATTAAGAAAGGCATGCACTGGTTTTGGTTGTTTAAAAACAGCCCAGGACAGAATGATCCTTGCTCAAACCCAGCCATGCTGTTGTACATTTGTCTGCGATTTTATTCCAATGTTCTGTGAAAGCCCATGAATGCCCATGTATGGGAAATGCGACTTCTGCTGAACAGCGCTGTCACATCCCTGTGCACAGACTCACTTTTGCAGCATTTTAAGACTAATAACGAAGATGCGTAACTAGTGTCTGTAGTCAAATGACCGACCAATTGGAAGAGAAAATCAGAGCCACAAAAAAGCTGACTGTAATGTTTTCTTATAGTTTGTAGCTGGACCGTAATTTTAAAAAAGCAGATGTTCAGATACAGTCTTCATTTTTATTTTGTTGTTCCAGCAGTAAAGAGTTGCTTAACCCTTATATTTAAGCTTGACTTTCAGAAGCTCTGAGTGTTCACTGCTTCCTCTTGTCTAAGGGAGCTGTGTGGCCTGGCAGTTAGTGGTCCTCAGGACCCGTATCTTAGGCTGACTCTGAATGTACTATAAAAATCCTGATGGAAAGCAGCCACCCCAGCTGCTTTTAATAACACAGTCCCATGTGTTTTTATATTTTCATTTTGAAAATATCCTAAGTGATTGTCCTATACACTAATGCCCTGCAAAAAGAGTACAAAAGCATGTCTTTGTTTAGAGGAATGCTAAGTAAATCCCAAATCATTGCAGTTAGTATTTTTACCTCACTTCTCTGATTTAAAACACAGTCAACTTCAGAGTTGTTTCATGAATAAGTAGTGAGTTTTGCTGATAAATTATATATTTAGTATCAAGTGGGTTGTGGTGGTGTAATGATGTATAGAAGCACGGAGATGCAGCTGGAGTCAGAGACTGGAAGTCAGTCTCCTTACCCACTGCAGCATGTTTGACTTTAATTGAAAGCTGTGCTTGAGTATTGTTTTTCACTGTACAGCATTGTTATTCACTATACTGCATTACGTAGAAGCACTTAAAGTAAGGCTAGAGCACTTTAAAATGATTTAAGTCATAAATAAAGAGGATAAAAGTTTAAAGTCAACAAACTTATCTGGGAAACCTAGGCTGCAGGATGCAAGTAAGTTTAAAATATTTTTGAGACTTAATACTGTTGTGTCTTACTACATAATCAATTTACCAACTAGTAGTTTTTCAAGTCTTCTGGAAAAGGTAAGTAGCATTCTCCAAAGGGTTTCAAGTTTCCCGAGCTATGAAGGAAAAGACCAAATGCTTAAGGGCTTTAACAGTATACCTTAACATTCCTGTTTCCTGATTTCAGTGTATTTCTGTGTATTCCAGTTGTTTCCAAAACGACTGGAGAAATACGATTTAAATGTGAAGGCGCATGAAAACTTGTCACGTACGTGAACTGAGTAAAGGAAGAGGCCTAAAAAGTGGGGTGCAGGCTGCGTTTTGTTAAGGCATGAAAAAAAATCAGAACCTGATGGGTTAAAACCCTGCTCTGCACTGCTGGTGTACTTTCTGTGACCCTATTTAATGCAGAGAAGGTTTGAGATTCGATGTAGTTTAACCTGTGCTGTCGACAGAGCTATAAACTAAAGCCCCTAACAAATTGTACACAAAGAACAGATAGCAAGAAAACACATTGTGTTCACAGGCATCTGGTTGCAGCCCTGTAAACTGAAGATCTTTGGTAATGAGTGACTTGCATTTCATTGACAGCGTAGGTTCTGAAGCCATCGCAACGAGGAGTCTGCATGCATATACTGGACTGTAGCATGTGACAGCCATTAATCTGTACACTAATTATTCAGATGCATATAAATGATTTGAAAGAACTTACAAGACCTAAAAGTAGTACTCCCCAATTTGCTAGTTATTTTATTTATTACTTTTCAGTCATCGCAACAAGCTCAAAACAAAATTACAAATATTTCTTGCTGTTGATCTTTAAAAGAATTGTAATGTAGTCAAGCAATCGCTTAAAACTACAAACTACAGTTGTCCTAAAGTACTAGTTCTGTTCACTTTTTTATACCTTCTCCCCCACGATAACGTGATATTAAGCACAGACTTAATTTTTTCAACATCTGGCTCAAATTAGCTGCTAACAAAACTGCCAACAACTATTTTCTTAATCGACCCTGGGAATTTGATACAGCTTGGAAAAAGCACATTTAAACCTTGTCCTTCTCCTAAAGAAACACAAATGTTTACTTGAGCTTCTGATTTGACCATAGCAGGACTATGAATTCAGTTAACCCAGCTTTATAGGCCTGCCTCAACTGGACTTTTTTCTCTTTGTGTAAGGAAACAGATGTGCTCGCAATTACAAAATCTCCTGCTCACTCAAAGCCCACCATGCAAATGGCCAGCCAGAATTTGAGTCTATTTTTTTACATGGAAGTCATTGGAGCAGTCTCCCATTGTATTTGGTGGGGGACTAAGGTGCACTGTTACCCGATGGGTCTCTCTGAGCTCCCTTTGCATATGCAATTGCATATGTTCCCTGCCTAGGGAACAGGTTGGAGCAAGTCTTTGGAAACTCAGTCCTAGAGGAAAAAACCTGTGCACTAGAAGCCAGTATCTTAGAAAGCAAGAGAGATCTTTCCAGTTATGAAAGCAGCGTTATTACTACATAAGCCCAAAAAAACACAACAGACAAACAAACTGCAAGTGACATTTCACTGTAGTTACTGAGACCATGTGGGTGAAGTGACAGCAGCAATGCAGCTGGCTCCGCGGGGACACGTTAGAGTACACTGAAGAAGAAGAGGCTGCAGGCATACAGAGAAGTTGAAAGCGGCCCACCTGAGTCTGTTGAGGGATATTTACAAAGCTTGGATCCCGTGGTCCAACACTGACGAATCGGTTTGCGGGGGAGGTGCTGGGTGTCGAGTAGGCTGTGAAGGGAAGGGACACATGCGTTGAGGAAGCGGCACTAGATTGCACACGAACAACACCAAAACACACTGTCTCAGAGCCACCTAAGCAGATGTTTAACATAGAAATGTGCAAACGTTTTAGAGAGCGAGAGTTTGGTTTTAGACACTGGAAAGGTTTGGTCTTAATGATGGGGATATAAACACGTAGGGGACTGGGCTGCTGAGAGAGGGCTCCTTGCCAGGCAGGACGGCAACGACGTGCGCTCAGGGAGAAGTGTGCTGGGGTCACCTGTGCTGCTCTCTATCCCAGAGGAGAACCGCTGCAGGCCTTTCCATGCTGGGCTAGCACAAGAGACTTCTGTAGGTCCTGGTATTGCCTGACTGTTTTCACTTGAATATGTGGTATCTCTAGTTTTAATGGAGTTTTGTATAGCAGTGACTTTACTGAAGTGCTTATTAACAGAATCAGACCCTTATTTCATGCTAATCCAGCATTCTCTCTCGATATAAAGTTTTGGTTTTCATACTGCTGTGGTCTGCACTCTCTAAAATGTTCACTTGATGTGTTTGACAAACTAGGAAGATCCTTTCGGTAAAAAATTAATGGGTTGCAGTTTCACTGGGGTGGTAAGTGCAATCACTCTGAAGGCTGAAGCTGCCTTTAAAAACTGGAATGGCTCCCATAAATGTAAAGCTATTAAATGCAATGCAAGCCAAGAACCCAGATTACTTCCAAACTTGAAGTACTTTAATGATTTTATTGTTGCATTATATTCTCCACTGCAACTGTCCACAATGCCACGTACTTCCACATCCAAAAGCTTTCAATGCATTTTCAGTCTTCCTCTCATTTGAAAATCCCCCATGTAATCTTCGCCCTTGTTCAGTTTTTTTGCATGTTCAGATCTAAATTCAAATAACCTAAATAGATGCCTTAATACAAACAGTGATTCTGTCTATTTTAAATAAATTTATGGGAATGCATTCTGCTGAATAAAATCCCCAGACAATCTAACTATCCAATGAAGAGACAAAAAACAATGTTAAAAGGAAAGTTACTTGCCAAATTCCAGTCAGGCTAAATATAATGTTCAGGCCTCAACGTTACAGAAAAATACAGCGAGTTAAGAGTCAGAGAAGACACTGAGTTGTCTGTGTAGATGAAAGCCTGTTGCCTTTCTGAAGGCAAAATGTTCAGTGAAGAGGCATTACATTGGAGGAGCGTTTGGTTTAAGACTGTACTGAATCAGACCAATGCTCCACCTTATCCCCTGTCCTCTCTCTTACAGAGGCCATAAGCAGATGCACAGGGAAGAGTCAAAACAGGTCACATATTTACTTTCTCATATTCTTTCCCACCCTCTGACTATTTTCAGCTCAGGGACTCCCTGTATTTAATGGCCCACAAGGGATTTCTCATTGATGAATGCCCAGTCTGCCCTTGAACCCATGCAAACATTCTGCATCCCACAAAGCCCTTTGGCGAGGAGTTCCCAAGTCTACGAGCATGCAGAACCCCATCCTTCCCTTCCCCTTCTACCCAAGTCTCACAAACGCCCCATGATGCCTCCTAATTCTTACAATTATATGAGACAGCTTCACTTTCTTAAAGAGCATTCCCCTGAAATCACCCCAGGAACTGCATATCTTCATTTCTTATTGATCTGAGGGGAGATAAGGCTGACTCCTGACTTCTAAGAATGAATTCTTCCAGTGAGGTGAGCTTTTCTCTCCAAAAAGCTAACACTTTGCTAGTACTTGCAAAAATCATGCAAGGAACACCTTTCCTTCACAAAGTTTTAAAGGAATTTTTAAGTGCGCTACTTCATTTTTCCAAGATGATTTTGCAAATTGCAGTGCAGCTTGCATATTAGAGCGTGAACAGGTACGCTGGTTGTTACTCATAACTGCAAATCAAGGAAGAAATGAACTGAGTAGATTTGGTGAGATGTTCTCCTTGCCTTTTTACCATCTTAATTTGCTTAATAATTCAAAGAAGCCACAAATTTGCAAAGGGTATATCTCTGTTGCTAGTGCCATGTATTAAGATTCTTCTGTACTGTTTTATGGTGAGGTTTTTTTTTTAACTAACTACTGAACCCTATGTTGTGCAAGACTACAAATTTCTTCTGCAGTGAGGAAAATTAACTCAAAGCTCAAAAATCAAACATCTGTTGTTTGGTTCTTCTACTCTACTTTTAAGGAAGCGGAATGAGTGGAGAGGCCATTTAATCCCTTGGAGCAGGTAAGGTAATCCACTCAGAAGGGAAGGAACTCAAGATCTTGTTTACAGTTCCCTATTGGCAGATACTTTTGCTGTGATATTTGGTTGAAAATCAAAGGGAAACCATCAGAATGCTGTCTTAAATGGCTTCTCTGTTCAAACAAAAGTTCTAAAGCATTTGAAAACTGTATAATATGCACAAAAGTCCCCTCAAACCTTGCTGGGTGAATTACTATGTATACCTTTCTTCCATAATGTTCCAAACTATGTTTAACTTGCTTTCTGAAAATACTTGGATGTCAGCCTGGTATTTTCTTAAGGTCATGTAACTACATTGCTAGAGCCAAGAAGTGAAGAGTACCAAAACGACATATATGCAGAGTAGGCTTTACACTGGACTCTCCTAAGATGCTAGTCCCACTTCACTGTAAAATGTCATGAGATGTTTGTGGATTGTAAGGGGCCATTTTGGTTCAGAATATTAAGTTGACATGGAATACATATTAGCAGTGACTCCTGTTACGGTGAAATTTGGTTCAGAAAAGGGAGCAGTACCGAGTGTTGCTTAGACGATCACCAATACGGCTTCCAGCCATATCTTACTGTCTTCATATAAATGACATGGAGGTGGGATTCCTGGAAGTCTTGCCACTTCTGATCCCTATACTCTGTTCTGAGATTAGGATGGGGCAAACTGCTCTCACTGGTTAAAGCTGGGTCATATTGTATTATAGTATACATAGGCTAAGCCTATGGTGGGGTCTTCAAATTCTTTTTTAGGAAAGGGAAAAGCCAAAGCATGGAAAGGAACAGAAGCCAGGTATCTTAGGCAGATTTCCTGATCTTTATCAGCTTTGCTCCATGGGAATTGCATAGATCTACACCAGTTTACACTAGCTGATACCTGGCCTGTTGGGCTTGAATAGAAACATCTTCCTGCCCAGCCTAGTCTTTCTGCTACTGGAATTCACTAAGGATTGTTTGCAATATCGTAGCCCATAGCCAAGGGAATGAATGTGATGCCACAAATTTGCTATGATGCTTCACTTCAGGAACAAGCAAAACAGGAGCTGGCAGAGAAAGAACATTTGCTCACACAGACAGCTTTGATATCTAGCCAAAAAGGCAAGAAATTGTATGAAAGACAAGACAAACAAACAGTTTTGGGAATGTCATGTATTTTAAAGTTGCCTGCAGTAGGAGAATGTTAATTTAAAATATACTTTCCTGAAATAATTTCTATTAAGTCTAGGAGTGTGTCCTTTATCAGACAGTTCTGGATTAAAAGGATAAACTTTTGGTTGGTAAAGATGATTTGGGTGAGCGATAACCTAATGTACCACTAGGTCTCTCTTTTACAGACCAACACGACAGGTACATGTGCTTGATATGAAGAGCTGTACTGTTTCACAAAGGACTAGGAGTCAGTTGAGCCGTTGTGGAGTTGTAGTGAGAGAATTAACCGGAGGAACGTGGTGCAATACAGCAATTCCTACTGCAATGCATTCTGCAGCTGAGTATCTGAGAGGGAATTGCAAATTCTAACAAATTAAATGATACAGTCATAACCCTCTTTTTCATGTATGGGGAAAGGAGCGAACAGAAAGCTAAAATGGCTTGCCCAGAGGGCGCTGAGTCAATCCATAGCAGAGAAAGGGAGAGAAATCCAATCTGATTATGAATCCAGTACTATAGCCACAAGATCAGTCTTCTCATCCTGACACAAATGCTGTTTAACACGAAAACTCCTTTGTGCAAAGGGACATTAACCAATAACGATCTTGCCCAACAAAGGAAAATAGCTAAGTTTCTCCCCATGTAGAGTTGTGAACCTTAGAAAATAACATTTAGTTTAAAAAAGCTCTTTAAAAATCATGGTGTACAGGATGGCAGTATCTTAGACTCTGCATTGGAATGAGGGCCACAGATTCTAACACTCAGATTCAGTTATGATAGTGATAAAGTCCAACTGGCATGTAGTGGACGTGGTGTTTTCTTTGGGCAATGAGATATTAAACCTAGAAACTGTCAAGTTCAAGAAAATAATTGTATTGTGTTTGTTATGGGTTACCAACCAAACAAAATCAAGAGAAGATATGAGATAAGATATTTTTGGGACTACTTCTGATATCAAGGATGTGTTCTATTGAAAAGGCTTTTTATAGAGGAAAAATGAACCCTCCCAGACTTCATGAATCGCATCCCCATTGTGTCATCTCACTGAGGAAAATGCTGGCTTTCCAAAGGGATAGGATTTTGCAGCTGAAATTTTCAACTCCCAGAGCATGCCTGGCCACCCAGTAGCAGCAAATCCCTGGTGTGCATCTCCAGGGGCTCTTCCTTCCTTGGACAGCACTAATGTTCATGTTTTGGTTAATGTCACAGCTGGAGAGTTTCACTATTGCTCTGAGAATCATTAACCACCTTGTTGTGATTTTTAGCTCTCATTCCCAGGAGACCATGCTGTATTGAACAGCTGCTCCTGGCTCCTGCACCCCTCAGGAGGGCCATATTCCAATTTTTGGTAGGGCCGTAACTGCATTTTGTTTCTGCAGAGGGCTTTCTGCTAGACCAAAAAAGGGAAGGAGAATGGAGAAAATGCCAACCCCTTTCACTCCGTTTCCTGGGGGGGGGGGCTTCATTCTCCTCCACAGAGCTAAGGAGAGAGTCTGGCCAAAATCTAACATCATTCCTGCCTTTGTTGCATAAGTGACTTTCCAATATCCTAAAGCTCTGCAGGGCAGTCAGCCATAACCCAGCGACACTCCCAGAACTGGTGCACTTGAGCAGTTTGTAACCATGGAAAACACCTTTTTGTGCGGCTTTTATGAAACTCTGGTGAATCTGCATTTGCTATTTGAAGGCCAATATTTAGTTAAGAAAAAAATAAACACCGATGAAAATGGAGGGTTGGTACTGATTGACACACTAAATGGAGTCCAGTGGGCCCTTCTGGTAAACTCTCAGTGCAAGGCTAGGCACTTGGTTTGTTTTACTCTTTATGTGGCCAGCCACTTCCACTGGCTTGGGTATATATGTAATATTTTTTTCTTAGAAAATATTTCTTATAATCTACTTTTCTGTAAAATTTTTCCCTAAATTAAATTATATGCTTCTTTACAACTCAAGTCACTATTATTCAAAACCCTTACGAAAAAGGAAGATGCATGCCTGAATATGTGTAGAACTATATGTTTAGACATCAGCATAGCTAATTAACAAACAGTAATTATTTTCCTAATCTTTTGCTTAAATACCATTAACTGGCTGCTCTTGAAAAAACCTCGATTCCCAATTAACGTGGCAGCTGTCTGCTGAACACTGAGCCACAGTGACCAGCCCAAGCTGATACCGATGGGTGGTGTTCTGCGAACTTCAGCGGACAAATGTCAGTTTTTATGCCAGCTGAGAACCAGGCCAGACACGCATTTAGCTTGTTTACATGATCACAGTATCACAAAAATTAGGTATTAAGATTACTGCTAAAATGATGTTGGGAATTTTTTTCTTTTAGACACCACACACTGCCAGTAAACTGAGTCACAACCGTAATGACAAATATACATTGACCTAGTTTCATTTTTCCCGGTTCTGAAGACAAGGAAATAGTAAGGCATTGCTGACTATATTCAGTGATAACTATGACTAAATATTAACCTTTTAGAATCCACCGCTGAATCTTATTGATAGGACTTAAAAGACGGTACCTCCCGTCAAAGAGCATCAAAACTTCCTGATAGCACAAGTGTTGGTCTAAGATCAGAAAGAAGAGTGGAGGGGAGGGAATGAATCAACTTCTTAGCTCAACAAAAATCTGATCAATTCTAGAAGATCACGTTCACAATCTTACCAGTCTGTCTCACACTAAAACCCATTTTAACTTCTAAGCGAGCCAGAGCATCTTGCTGAGTTTGCAGTTGTGCACTATCGCGTAGCAGAAGGCAATGCAAAACTCCAAGAACTACCAGATTTTAAAAATGCCCCCTGGAACCTGTGCAAATCTCCTGAACAGTATACAAAGCTTTAAAAATGTAGGCTTCACATGGTCTGAATAGCGAATACCTCTTTGCACATCAAGCAGTGGCTGCATATAGCATTTAAATAATAAACTTGAAAAGCACACAAAGGGATTTGCTCTTTCGATTAGATTGATTTTTGTTTGTGGATGTTATTTGGACTCCCTTCACTGTGGAACAAGTCCCCTACAGTTGCCATTAAAGCACTGAAAGCTTCCCTTTTGTTTTTAAATGTCAGTTTGAGCATAGCTTCATTAAATCATTTCACAATTAACTCCCTGAACATCCAGACTTTTTTAAAGCATCAAACCCAGCTGAATCGCATTTGTTTCCCAGAAGAGTGAGTCCAAAGTGGTATCCCCAAGTGTGTATCCAGGAATTTGTATATTTGACTTGTGGCTACACAAAATACATATGGGAGCTGTGTGGGTGGTGGAGAGAGGATTAAAGCTTTCTCCCTGGGCCTAAGAAATACCATAGCTTCTTGCCCAAAATGCAGGGCTCGGGAACCAAGTCATAAGGGAAAGACGTCTGGGTTAATCTAGGAAGACTTATTCCCAAAAGAACTATAAATGAAGTGAACTCAAAGGAGTTGTTAGTTTAGCCCAGTATGTATAAGCAGCAATGTTTTCGATGAGGCTATCTGTCTGACTTCCATGTAGTATCTATCCTCTAAAACCTGGCTTGAGATAACAAACTGCCTTCTCATGACAGTAAACAAGATCCCGAAGGTCCCAGGTCTGTGTCACAGCTTAGCTACTGGCCTTGATTTCTCTCATGCATGGTTATGTGAAATGCCAACAAAGCAGAAATGAAACTGTAACCTTAAGCTAACTCTTTTCTCGTTAATATAAAAGCAGCTCAGAATTTTGTCCATCATATACAGAGTGGAGAGCTCTCCTACTTCCTGAGAGCTAGTCCAGTCCTCATCTCTGAACAGCTGATACACGGTGATCGCAGCACATCACGCACTGCTGTTAGCCCTTGGTTCCCGCTGCGTCTATACTTACTTGGAGAAGTGGGAGAGGTGGCCCCTCCTTCTGTTGATGTAGTTGGAGGTTTTGTGTCTGGCACTGGCAGAGGCACAGGCCTAGCCATTGGTGGCGGAGGTGGTGGTGGCAACATTGGGGTAGGAAGGAATGGATTGTGCACCTTGCCTTGGCTGCTACCATTGGGCTGCCAAAAAACAAGCAAACAGACAAAAATTATACTAAAAATCAGCTATTAGGAACCTCTGGCAATAGTTGAAATCTAGTTGAAAGCTATGTGCAGTACATTTACAATTACTTGAGAGGTGGCAAAGAAAGTGCTGTGTCAAATTCTCCATTGACTTCAAGGAACTTTGTCTCAAACTCTGTGAACCTTATGAAACTATGGAAATTCTCGCTTTTAAACATTTGTCCTATTAGCAACTGGTCTGAACTGCCCTGGGTTAAATTCTACTACTCTTTGCATTTCCTGCAGCCACTAACTCATGCTTAGTGAGAGCTGAAGCAGTATTTTTGACCCCTTAAATCCCCCAGTTTCATGCCTCTGTTATACCCTTAGGATATCAGTGCCTAGGACTTGAGTGTAAATTTCTTAAAGATACTGCTCATTAAGAGAAAAAACAAGCATTTTTGGTGGTCTTAAAAGTCATGCTGCTATCTTATTACAGGAAAATGAATGAGTATATATTAAAGTAACTGCTCTCCCACATCCCTTTTGAGTTAGCAATAGTGTAGCTCACAGTTTAGTTGCCATTAGGATCATATGGAGAAACGACTGAACTTAGAACTGCTTCATTTTACACATTAGGAAAAAACCCCCCTCCATTTAGTCTGGGATGTGGTCAGTCACAGGCAGAATGGGCCCAGCTATACAAGTGTGGTCTTTCAATTAACCACCAGAAAAACCTGTCCATAAGCAAAAGTGTTTTCAAGTATCACAAAAACAAGAAGCAGGCTTAAAAAAAATGCCACCCCTCCCCCCAACTTGTTAAGTTTATATTTTAAATGTAATACAGCCTGGACACTTGAAAACCATACAGAGAGATGCCAAATACCATTATAAAGAGAAAGTAGGACAGCCTGTGAATCAGGTGTTCCATTTTAGTGACAAAAATGATGAGATCATTTTCGACAGCACTCTGCAAATTGATCTCACTGCAGTTCTTCTGGCACTGAGCATTGGCTTTTCCATTGATGATAAAAGCTCAGCTTTAAACACAGATCCATATTCTAAGTACTGCTAAAGAAAATAATGTTTTAATTCCTGTTAGGGTTTCCATTAGCCTGAATTACTGGGGACAAAATACTCATCCTGGCAAATGCTTAGGACCTTATTTTCATTTCACCTGCTTTGGCACTGACAAAAGGCCTAAAAGTCATGTGGGTGCAAATCACACTTGTGCTAGAGCAAAAATGGTTCAGGGCATAAATAAGACTCGAATTCATCTGCATTTAACTTAACAGCACTCACACTGACTTCAAAGACTGCAGTTAACTAGTGTTTGCAGTAAGAAGTAATCCTTCAGGGATATTTATTTTTCCAACATCCAGTACCTTTAATAAACTAATATATTAGTGACATCTCTCAAACACTATCTTGTCTCACAATTAGGTCCCTTTCCTGCCAAGAAGACCCCTGCTGTATGTTCATTGTGAGTGTGCTAACAGTTCATAATGCTGAATGGTTTGGGATAAATTAAGCAAATGAATACTCAAGGAAAAAGAAAAGCACTATATTGATTTGTTGTCTAGACGTAAATGTATCTGCTAACATATTGCAGACATTATTCAAAGCCAGTACTGGCTGGAATAAGTAGAGTCAGTTTTTCTGCTAGGGAAAGGAAAGCACCGAGAACAATATAGCTTATTAAATAAGTGTAATAAATTAGATGCTAATAATTAAACTAATTCTCATTAACACTTTCAATCGTATGTATGTCAGGAGAGAAACAGTAATTTTGCTAGTTATTACTTCATTGGCTGGAAAAAGTTACATGCATTACATTTCATGAAATATTCAAAGCATTATTTTAGATTTGATTTACATAAAATTTATAAATTCTGTATTTGACCGGAATGCTATTTCAATAATAGCAAGATGATTCACTTTGTTTGATTAAAAAAAAAAATGAAAATGGTTATTTGAAGCTTTGGAACTCTGCTTAATTTTTCATAGAGATAAGGGGAAAAGATAACTGCTTACAGAAATAACAAACCATAATAAACTGTACTTTTAACATCTTGAGTTCAAGTACTGGTCAACTTGATCTAAAGTGCTATAAGGCAGTATTTTTTTTTTTTTTAATGAACTTAGCTGATCTGAAACATCTGTTTCTCACCCTCCCTTTTCCTGCTTCTTCCCCCCCACTATCCCCTGAACTTCAAAAATAATTAATAAAAATTATTCTGCCTTCATATTTTGTTAACCCTAGTTCCACTAGGGTTACAACGCATGCAGCAAAGTCATTTGTGGAGGCACCCAAAAGGTCACTGTATCACCGGCTTCTCTGACAGTTTAAGTTAATTTCACCACAATGTGGTCGAGTGTTTTTTTGGGGAGGATTTTTGGTTTTTCTTTTTAAATATTTTTGCAGTAGCAGCATTTTTTTCTTCCAACGACTATTCAAGGTGTGTTCCTGTGTGCGACATGCTGTTAAAATAATCCCATAATCCCATGGTTAATTTTACATAGGACAAACACTTCTGAAGAAATAAAAACAGCTTCCTTACATTTAGGAACCCCACCTGTCCAGCCTGCTGACCAGCGTCGGGGCAGACAAGTTGGACAAACTCTTTCAGAGTCTCCTGAGGATGATAGCGGATTGCTGGGTGTGAGAAGTATGGCCCAGGCTGTTGAATAATGGGTGATGTTGGAAAATGAAGAGTCGATGGTGTTGCATGTGGACTTGCTATAGGAAAGAAAACAAAGAAGTTATATAGAGTTTTGCCTTCGGAAAATAAAACAGTTTAAATCTACTGTAGTTTTACTTTTAGTCTTTTTTTAAAAGTACAGTATTGTTTATACATCTAATGTTCACAATTAATATATTAGACCACATCGTGTCCTACACTCACTTCATCTAGATCCTGAAAGCAAATGGAGCCAGACATTTTGAAGGATTTTCTGAATTTTTAGTGGACACGTATAAAAGAATCAGCAGTCCTTCGTGAAAGTGAAAACTATTCATCACCTTAAGAGCAGTCCTCATCAATCAGGCAATAAAAAAATGTATTTGGGAGATTAGGGTTGATTTAATTGACATTTCATGTAACTTGGATTTGCACATATGAATCCATTTTATATTGTACTATAAATGGTTGATAATTTAAAGATGGTCTAACACTTCCTGTTGTTGGGGTTTTTTTCCACCTCAGTTTAGAAACATTTAAGTAATGTGTTTTCATCTAATGAACGTGCATAAAGTGGCAAGATCGTTTTGAAAATTATATTTACATTTCTCCTGAATAATATTAGGCTCAAATCTTCAGCAAGCCCCCTGCTTGCATTCAGGGATGAAATTTAATTTGGTGAATTTATGGGCCAACAAGCCAGCTGGAAAATGCACTACAGTGAAGGTGTAAAGGTGTAAGGTACACAAGCCCATTGGCAATGACAGATTTTACTCTCAGTTGATTTCAGCAGAACTACAAGTGCAGCTGAAGAGCCTTATGCTCTCCTACATTATGTGACACCTTTGCCTAGTTCCTTGGCCTTCAAGATAAATTGGGTTGGACCCTTGTTAGCTAACAGTGCTTTCCACTGTTAGTTGTCACCATGAGGTATCAACTGCTGCCACTCATAGTGCTACGAATTCTCCCTTTCCCCTCTAAAATGAGAATTCACTCTTCCTTTAGAATGGCCAATTAACCTGGTTGCACACAAGCTCATCTGTAAATCATACTTTATTTCTCACCAAACAGTCATCATTACATCCCTGTTGCTCCCTTGGCATGCTATCCTAGTAATCTTTCAAGGGTGTCCATGTGCACTTGTACACCACACATAACTGATTAGATAAAGGCTATGCAAGGGAGGTAATATCCTACAGAAACTCATGTGTTGGCTTTGAAGTAAGTTAAATATACAAGAGGGAAAAAAAAACCCCTTGGCACTTTTCGAAAAATTGGAGAGATGCAGGAAAGTTAACTAAAATCAAATACAAATGAGCAAACACTAATTTCATGACAAATGTTATGAAAACGCCTCACTTAAATAAAAGCTAAAATCTGCTTCTTAGTCTTGTTCATTGCCAGTTTAATAATATGACACTTTATTAATAATTTTTTCTTAAGCATTATTAAACCATTAGCAAACTCAGAGCCTGAAGATGTGGATAAAACATGTACTCAGAGACAGCAGCAAGGAAACCTACTGCATTATCCTATAAACATTTATTAAGGGTTGGCTGGGCAGCACTTCTATGTACTTCTTTCTCCACGACTGGATAGCAATGATTGCTTTGACACCACCACCAAAAGGAACTGCACTCATGCCTGGGGTGCTGATATGGGATGAGTATGAAGCGCTCATCCTTGCCATGAAAAGCTCCCCTGTATCCTTGTTAACCCCACGAGTCTTCCCAGTCTGCTCCCCTTAATACTGTTTAAAATATTCACAACAGAAAGAGAAACTCATACTAAATGTGTGGTACTAAACCGGAAAAGACCACTGAAAAAAAGCATGGAGATGAGAAACCAAAAGGTAGCATGCAGCCTTCAACTCTCTCTGATTAAAGTAGATGTATATCCAGTGAAACTCTTCTGAAAGCATGGGCTATACCTATCTTATAACAGCTAGGTATCGCGTCATGTGGGCTGAACTGGAAAACAGTGTTTTCCCACAGCCATGCTAGCTCTGCAATGCTGCACTTGGGAAAAGGAAACAAGAAGCAGCATATCCCACACTCCTTGTATGGAAATGTTGACAGCTATTCCATGGCCAAGGCAAACACCTGTGTGCCCAGCCTGTTCAACCTGTCTGCACATCTGGGCTTATCACTTGTTTTTTACAAACCTAGTTAATTATTTCTTATTCACTTTTAAGACAAATAGTTTTGTTCTGAGTTTGCATCTTAAATTATAGTATATTTGAAAACTCTTCAGATAAAGAACCCAAATCCTCAAAGGAAGAAATGAAGGCTATTTTCCTGTCCCCAAACTCCTGGGAGAGGCTGTAACTTTGAAGTGTGCTATTAAAGGTAGAGATAATGTGGGAATCACCTTAATAAATGTGGGTGTCTACCATGGAGCTAATTATCTTAGAATCAATGGAGAACTAAACAGAACTAATGCTGTCTAAGTTCATGGTTCATCTCATCCAAAAACAGACCACTGCCTTTGACTAGACTTCATTGACCACACTGACTGGCTCACCAGTGGATGTGAAGGGAGCCCACTGGTACTAGCTCTGAGGTAGATACCTCCAGTCTACGCATGCACCTTCAGTTAGGTGAATTCCACCCAAAGTGTCAGCCTCTGATCTCACTTACGCCAACCCCTGAGGTGTAACTGCTTTAATGACACTTTACAGGTATGAATGTATTGTCACCTTCTCCTGGAAGCCACAGTCATTTTAGAGCCTGTAAAAATATTTTGCCACAAATACTCATTCAACAAAAGATGGTGGTAAAGATTTTGATGACTACAACAAAATCTTCATTAGCAGACAACATTTCTGTCATTTTTTTGATATAGAACATATTCTTCCTCTCTTCCTTCGTATCTCCTTTTATAGTTCCCCCCTTTCTTGTATGCCAAATGGAAGATGAAGGATGAAGATAAAAGTGAGAAATGAAAATTTATGTGGCAAACATCTAATTAAGTGAAAAATACGTTGGATTTTTTAAACATTTATTAAAAAAAATTCATTTTAGCACCAGCTCTGTTAATACTATTTGAAATTGTTATCCAACTGCACTGTCCTTTGTACACATCTGGGAACAAATTCATTCCTTTTCTTCCGCTGGGTGAAAAGGAGATAGAAATGCTATTTCAATCAAACAAGAAGGAATAAAAAATTGTACCCAGGGAACGTGGAAATTCAAAGCTAGGCCTGAGACCACACTGTATTTAGCTTTTCCAAGGTATGGCTTTTCATTTAATAATTTGATTTGCTATATGAAAGACATGTTATGGTTATTAGAAATACTCATAGGCATGTAAGTAGTGGGTCTTTGTCTGTTGCCTTGACCTCCTCAGCATGTCAGGGTAGAAAACAAAGTGGAAAGCATTTGTCAGTGATCTTCCCAAAGAGAGAGAGAAGAAAAATGAATGCAGAAACGATCAACAATAATTCAAGAAGGTAAAGTGCTGCAAGAAGGAGAAAATGGTTCCTCTTCAGAGTCTTGGCCAGCTCCTCAACACAGCCTTGAAGGGCTTTCTGCTGATCACGGGAAAGACTGGGGGAAGGAAACAAGACCAAATAGGCATCAGTCCTCAGTCTGTGCCTTATACTGACATATAGGGTTCATTTCCTCAGAGTAGATGGATTAGCGTAAGAAGTAATGAATGGAATGAGGATCTCCAAAAGGTTTGGTTTTGCAGTCTCTGACTGGGAAAGACCAAATTTCTCAAGTGGCAAAGGGAAGGGCTGTTTGATAAGAGGAAGAATCTACTACTATTAAACTGATCAACATTACAAGTGTGCCTGCCTTATATTAGAGAGAGGGAGTTAAATGCTAAAGTCTAAAAACTGCTGGCCCAGATACAGACCATTACTCTGATAGCTGTGTTGTGGTCACCAACTCTGGTGTATGCAAAAACGGCCTTTCAAACAAGTTCTGAGTGCAGAACACAACCGTGTTTCCAAATACATGGATCCTCACAAACATTTTTAATCAGTTAAAGGACGTGAGGTAGTGGAGTAGGATGTTATTTTCCCTGTTAGCCTCTAAAAGGGGCAAGTGACCATGCAAAAGCCCCTTCAGTCATGATTTTCAGAAACGCTTAATAAAAATTATTAAGTCATTGCTTCTGAAAACCATGCCTAGAGGGATGCAAGTTTTCCTGTGTATAAGAAGGGGCTATTACTACTTATGTGCTTCTGATGGGATATTACAAGTCTCAATCAGTGATGCAAATTCTTTGAGATCTTCACATGGAAGATAAAACAGGTCTTTGTCTATTATTTATTTACTTACTGACTTATTATTTATGTATCCCTAAGCAGCTCCATGCTGCCAAACCATATTTCTCTTGGCGTCTTTCAGCCTGTGACATTTATATTTTATTATTGACCTCACTAAATGACATAAAATACAAGTTCTACAACCTATGAAAATACGTGTATTCCAGATCAGAACTTCATTTCTACCTGCTGTAGGTATGGAGGAGTTGGACTATCTAGCATTATTAAATCTGATATTTGTGTGGGGGGGTTGGAGGCAGGAATTATCCTTCCATCTCAAGGCAAGCATAAATATTTCAAAGCACACGTGATTCTAATTCCATTGAAGCTCATCTGAAACATCCCAGACTTTTTATTGAAAATGAGATGATAATGTATGGTGACCTGCAACACATATACCACTATTTTAAAACTACTGCTATTGGGCCAGGTAATTATGCAGTACAGCTGTTGCGTGCTATACTGGATTTTTTAGTGTTTTATGAGTTTGTGGTGCTGTGCAGCATAGAAGTAAGAGGATTTTTCAGAACGCTGAATTCAAATGTCTGATTATGCAGGCCTGCTTGTCTTTTCCCTTCTTGATTTGTAGTAGCCAATAACAAACTAACTAACTAATAAAATAGGTTGCATTCATTGATTAGGTTAGCACTTCACATGTCTAAGGCAAATGAAGAAGAGACAAAATTGTGAATTCTATTCAACTGAATGATCAGATAATAAAGAACCAGTTAATCTGAAACAGGTTATAGTTTTCGTCAGAAATTTAGTACCCTTCTCAGGCCC